ACATCAGCAAGAGTAACCCAAAAAAACTCCTACCTATAATTTTTATATGAAGGGGAGTAGGGGGTAAACAGACCCCCTCTTTACCTCCATTTAAAGACAAGGTCTCGTATGTAGGACCACCCGCCTTCAACTGGTTTGACCATATCTCAAGCAGCCTATGTTGTCAAGGAAATTCGTCACGGAATATGCGGAATGCACTCCGGAGCTCGCTCGATGGCAGTCAGGGTACTCCGGGCTGGATACTACTGGCCCACCTTGAAGTCAGATTGCCAAAACTACATCCAAAAATGCAAAGAATGCCAGCAGTTTGGCAACGCGCATCAGCAGCCCCCTGAGGCTCTTCACCACATGATGGCAGCATGGCCTTTCTCCCAGTGGGGAATGGACATCCTTGGGCCTTCCCCCCCCGCGAAGGGTCAGTTAAAGTTTCTCCTGGTGGCAATCGACTACTTCACCAAGTGCGAAAGTTCACATGGAAAAACATTGTTTGCAGATTCGGAATTCCCCACACCATTGTCACTGACAACGGGCGGAAGTTCATCGTAGAAGAATTCGAAGTCTTCCTCCAAGAACTCGGAATCAAGCACTTGCCGACCTCGGTGGAGCACCCCCAAACCAACGGCCAGGCCGAAGCAGCCAATAAGGTCATCCTCCGGGAACTCAAGAAACGGCTAGGGAACGCAAAAGGGGAGTCGCCCGACATGCTTCCTGGCATCCTCTGGGCATACCACTGCACCCCACAGTCAACCACACAAGAAACACCTTACAGACTAACTTATGGAGCCGACGCAACGATCCCGGTAGAAGTCGGACAAACATCCCACCGACGCCAAGTCTTCAACAATGAACAAAATAACCACGAGCTAGCAATGGACCTCGACCAGCTAGACGAGCTCCGAGACGAAGCCCAAATCCACGCAGAAGCTTGCAAACTCCGGGCCGCCCGGAGATACAACTCCCGGGTGAAACCCCGGTCTTTCCAGGAAGGCAATCTGGTATGGCGGCTACTCGAAGAAGCACGAAAGGACACGTCAGACGGGAAGCTCGCACCCACTTGGGGCGGCCCATTCCGAATCGCAGAAAACCTGGAAAACGGAGCCTATCGGCTAGAGGAGTTCAGCGGGAAGCCCGTTCCACGAACTTGGAACGCTACCCACCTCAAATTTTACTTCAGTTAAACTGAGAGGGGTTTTTAACGAGGCACACGGCTTTCATCAATAAAATGACTCGTTTCTTTTATATACTCGAAATCCCTTACGGTGCTATTACCCGGTTATTCAAATAGAGGTCGAACGAACCTCACTTTACTCAAACAGAGGTCGAACACGAACCTCACGTCACTCAAATAGAGGTCGAGAACGAACCTCATTACACTCAAATAGAGGTCGAAAATGAACCTCACTTCATTCAAATAGAGGTCGAGAACGAACCTCATTACACTCAAATAGAGGTCGAAAACGAACCTCACTTCATTCAAATAGAGGTCGAAAACGAACCTCACTTTACTCAAATAGAGGTCGAACACGAACCTCACGTCACCCAAATGGAGGTCGAACACGAACCTCACTTCACTCAAATAGAGGTCGCAAACGAACCTCACTTTATTCAAGTGGAGACCAAAAACGAACCCCACTTTACTCAAACAAAGGTCGAAAACGAACCCCATCTTACCCCGTCACAAGACAAAAAGAAACCTCATTATTAACGGTTGCAAATAAACCTCACCACCAAAAACACAGGGCAAAAAGCCAATCTGAACTTCGTCGTAACAAAAATCAGGGTGGAAATAGCAACACCTAAACAAAACTTGCATAACTGAGAAGTATAATTCATAAGACAGTCAGAAACAGGAAATACAAAAATTATCCTATACAGAGGCATTGTCACTAGAACTCTCCTTGACGTCGTCCTCCCGGACTAACCGCCCGAAGCGGACAACTTTCTCCAAATGCATCCCGGAAAAGTCGAACCCCGGCGCAAGGAGCCTAGCCTGCCGGGCTGCCTTGAGGAAGCCTCTCTTATGTTCCACCACGATCGAGCGCTCGACTTCCTCGAGTCTCTTCCTCAATGCTGCATTCTCGGCCTCTAGAGCCGAAAGACTCTCTCTCTGATGGACCACCTCCCCCTCCTTAGTACTGAGGACCACCTCGTCGCAAAGACGTTCCTCAGATATGGACGCCAGTTCACCCTTCCAAAAGGATATCTCCTCCTCCAGCGAGCGAACCTGCCTAGCATAAGCCTCGTTAGAACGGAGGGCCGCCTCTAACGATCCCTGGGCTTCGGCAAGATCCCTCTGCGCCGCCTGAAGCTCGACCCCCTGCAGCTTCGCCTCGGACAGAGTGGCGACCAGAATTTTATTCTCCTCCATCAAGGGTTGCACCTGGCCCTTCAACCTTGATAACTCCTCCTGCTGCCGGGACCATTTGCGCTTCCAATAATCCACAATGGCCGTGCCCCTCTGCAAAAAGATCTGGGCAGCGTCGAAACTTGCCACGGGACCGGCAGATTCGAACATCGCCTGATCGGCCGCACTCAAGGAGCCCTGCGAAAAAAACTTATCAGGAGTCAGCGAGGCGCTCCACCAAGGGTCGATCCCCTCCGACGCACTCAGGTGCTCCAACCGTGTTGGCGCACCCTCCTGCGCATAACGATACGCAAGGTAGGGACGCTTGGGTGGCCCCCTCGTCGCAGGCGCAGGAGCCGGAACCCCAGAGCCAGAGCCCTCACCACGACGACCGGTTAAGGAGGAGGAGGCCACCGGCCCAACCGCTGGTCCGGTCGCCGGGACGTTACCCCCCACCACCGGTGACCTTCGACCATCAGAAACCCCTACGGTCCTCCCCGCCTACAAAAAATATAGAGGAAAAAATATAAAAATTTCACCAACTAAACAAGAGGCGCAACAAAGTAGCAGATCACAGCCACACGCTGCCCACCTCAACAACAGGAGCGAGCCGCCCAACGGTCGGAATCTCTGCTTCAGAAGCCACACCAGCCTGGCCAACGGCCCGAGAAGTCGACCCAACGACAGCCTCCACCTACGAGGAACGATCCCAACTCAGAAACACTAAGCAAAAGCATGCAAAGGAAAAGCTAACAAGGTGACAAATAGTCCCTACCCCTCGACCAGCAGCCTGCACAGGCACTCCAGCAGAAGGGCGGAGGGGCTCGATATCCAGCTCCGCCACCCGAGCCCCCCCCTCCGATAGAGAGGTCCCAGCTGAGCCCGCCGCCTCGACACCGAAGGCCCCTGCAACAACCCCCTCCGCCTCGTGAGGGGCAGCGACTCCCCCGGTCTCCGCCGGGACCCTTTTCCTCTTCCGGTTTATCTTTAGGGGGGAAACCTCCTCCTCCCCCTGGACCTCAGGACCCTCAAGCTCGGCCACATTGTAGCCATAGCGCTGCTTCCAGCCACGCCACAGGTCCCTTCCCACAATACCTAAGTACAGAAATCAGAGCACATCAGCAGGCATAAAACCCCAACAGCTAAACGAAAACAACAAAATACGCACCCTCCAAGTCTCTCTCCCTGTGCGCCGAACGCTCGAGCGACAGGATGAGCTTGCAGTCCAGCGGACGAGGAAGTGCCTTCAAAGCTTCAACAGCAGCCGTCTCCGACGGCGTTAACTTCGACGGATCCACCCCATGAAACCCAACAGGGTCGTGGCACCAATAGAATGGAAACCTTGGCAGCCCGCCAAAGTAGAATCCCCCGTCCTCCAAAGGGTTGACATCAGCAAGAGTAACCCAAAAAAACTCCTACCTATAATTTTTATATGAAGGGGAGTAGGGGGTAAACAGACCCCCTCTTTACCTCCATTTAAAGACAAGGTCTCGTATGTAGGACCACCCGCCTTCAACTGGTAAAAAGAAAGGAAGACCGGCAGGGATACCTCCATCCCTAGAACTCCACTCAAGATCTCGAACGCCCTCAAAAATCCCCAGCTGTTGGGATGCAACTGACTGGGGGCCGCATTAATATAGTTCAAAAAATCACATTCGAACTGCGTAAAGGGAAGGCAAACACCCAAATCTATGAAAAAGCTCTCATACACATAAAATGAGGGGGAATCAGCAGACCTTTTCATGTACACACCCTCGCCAGCCGAACAAGGCTCCAGTCGGACCATCCGAGAGACGGAGGGGTCACAAATCCTGTGCATCTCCCACAGCGCATCGACCTCCAGTTTCGAATCAAAGACACTCGCAAACCGGGCCATTTCGCATTTGACCCACTCATAACCAGGAATGTTCAGCTCTGAGTCTCCGGGCGGAGGCACCCCTTTTGCCTTGGCGGCGACCACCGCCTTGCCACGTACCCTACCCCTAGT